CGTCGTGGCTCCCCAGCGTTTCCTCCCAGCTCAGAGGGCAGCGCTCCGGTGCCAGGATGTTGTTTGCAGGCTCAGCTGCTTAACGGCCACCTTTCCTGAGCCGTGTTTCAGCTCTTTCTGACGGGAGCTTCCCCCGCTTACTGGGAGTTTGCCTCTCCCCCATTCGGACTTGTCCGAAGGGAGTCCTTTCTCTCCAGGAGCGCTGATGTGGGGACAGGTCGGGGAAGCCCCCAGCCGCCTCCTAGGACAGGGAACCGCCTGGGAATTTAAGTTACTGCTAAGATGTTCACAGCAGGATCCAACTTTTTTTGGTAATGTTGCTTATTTTGTATTTTCATCTGGAGCTCCGGGAAGAAATCTTGACCTGACTCTCGGTTAGTTGCCTGGTATCTTAACTGACAGCATCGATCCGAGTTTTTGTGGTTTGTTCACTAACTATATTCACCCACTGAATGCATGTGTTATGAATCCTCTTCACAGGTTCACTTGCACTAACTTAACGCGATTCTGGGTTTTGTACTAACTGAAATATATGTACAGGGTTGATGGCTGCAGGTGGCCTGGATTTAAAAGGAAACATTTGGCTATTAAGCCGCAGGTGACAAGCAGAACTGCACAACTCTGTGTGCGTGCGTGTGTGTGTATGTGTGTGTCTCTTGAAAATGAAAGCAATAACCTCAGGAAGTGAGGTCTGGCAGGGAAATGGACTGAGAGCCAGGGCAGTGCAGTTAACCCTGCATGTACTATATAAAGGGTGTCTGAGAAGCCAGAAACAGCTTAGTTTGATCCTTGCCTACCTCCCAAGGCAATCCCTCGAAATCACCGAGGGGTGATTAGTCCTGATTAAGTTTCCCCCACCCCCCTGCTAGCGTTTGTAACAGTCTTTGCTTGTGAGCTCTTCTCTCTTTACCAAGAAATGAACCAAGTTATCAGCAAATACTAAATCTCTTTACAGCCGCGAGGGTCAAAGAACAGTTGATCAAAAACAGATTTTGTTGCAGGTGGGGTATTTTATTTTTTGGGGGGGGGGGGCGGAATCAGCACCCAAAAGGATGCACCCGAACCCTCCTTCCCCCAGATGTTATTGGTTGAGGGCTGGGCTTGAATCTTATCTGTGGGATGAGGTGGAACTCTGTGGGCCCTGATCTGTGCTGCTGCTGCTGCTTGGAAATGCTGTTTGCCCAGGCTGAGTAGTGAAGAAGCAGAAGGCTCTGGGAACAGAAGAGGGTAGCGACCCCATTTCCTTGCTTGGGGCTGCCAAGAGAACTTGGATCTTCAATCCGAGGGAGTTGAGACTAGTCTGTTCAAAGCACCTGCCAGGGTTTTCCAACCTACCACGTCCTTAAAAGTCCCAGCTGGCTGTAAATAACCATGGTAATTTAGAGGGTAAGAGAACGTGCTTTGTTAGAAGCAGAAGGGGAAATGAAACCCTCTTTTAAAAAAATTATGCAGAATTCAGTTCTTAGATTGACGTAGATGCATTCATTCCCCACCCATACGCACCCACAGGCCCGTTGGACCGACACACACTTAAATCATGGCAGCTGGCATTGCAAACTCCGCAGGGCCTCAATCCAAGAGCCGCAGGAAAACCCCCCACCCCAGGCCAGGTCCATTGATCAGAGCAAGCACTGCCCTGAAACTCCCCCTTTGGGTTCAGCTTTCATCTCCCCCTCCGCTTCGGGTTCTGGGTCCCTCATCTGCCAGTGCAGCACTTGCCACCCACTGACAGCACATTCCTGTACCACGTGACCAAGATCACAGCCAAGTTAAGGACTCGGAAGCATATTTATAGCAGTTTTGGACCGTCAGTATTGCAGCAGCATGCACAAGAGTTTTCAATATTGTGCAAATGGCTGCATCCCTAAATCATGTTTGGAAAAAGGATTTCGACTTGTTTCGTTTGTTGCTTTGGCTTCTGTGTTTCAGTTACGGTGTTGTGTGAGTAATTCTTATTTCGGTAACTTAACTTTGGGTTATTTTTTTTTAATGGTGAATAACTTTTAAACTGTGTGTAAAAAGTTCTGTAACATACACTAAAAAAAAAAAAAAGCTACTGTTGTGATTTATTTTTTCTTGTTTAGAAAAAGGATTTGCTGTTTTTAAGTTCAACGGGATAACTTTCTTCCCCCTCCGAAGATGGTTTGGTTGAAAGGAACAAATGCGGTTGTTGTTGTTGTTTTTAATTCATAGTAAACAATTTTTTTGATCCAAATGAATGTTTATGCAGCAGCATTTGAGGTTTAAAAAAAAAAAACCCACACCTTTTACTGTATAAAACTGCAATCAAATATTCCCAATGCTTGTTGTTACAACCTGCCTTCCAACAGGGTCAGCGGCTGCCGTGGAGTGGTAACTATATTTTTAAGACATTTAGTTCCACTAGCAAGAGTAACCAAGCTGAAATGAAGGTAACTACATATTTTAAATTTCCTCCCAGTTTTTTGCTTTGTCTTAACTGTCTCTTCTCCCACCCCGAAAAACCCTACACTTTTTAAAAATGTATTCGCTTGGAGCTGTGAAAGTATAAATGCTGTTCAATAATATAGACGAACCTAAAGTTTCTACCGTTTTAGAGAGGAAGAAAAACAAATTGCTTTGTAATCTTTGGTGATCTTATTTCCCATGCACTTCAGTGCCTTTAGATTGACTTCTGTTTAAAAAAAAAAAAGTAGAGACTCTGCATTTTGTTTTTAGAGGGGGTTTGTGAACTGATGATTATGCTACATTAAAAATATGGGCACTGCAAAAGGCTCTCAGGTATTCTTTATTCTTGTAGTAATAATGCAATTAAAACTTTTAGTGGTTTAACTTCTGCTGTACATTGTGTTAATTAAATGGTTGCCACGGTTTTAACTAGACAGAGTCCCGTTCAATGGAGTTGGTTTTGGGGCCTGGTTCTGAAGCCAGTTCCAAATGTGGTTCTGCCCCTGTCATTCTGGCGTGTCACGTGGCCTGGGTACCAAATGGCTCACTGCCAAAGTGGCTTGGTTTGTGTTGTATTAAGGCATAGAGTGGGGGGCAGTCTTACCTCTTAACACACTATGTAAGAACCTGGAGGGATGTTACCTGCTGGGAACACTGTAATCCTGCAAAGACCATATTTGCCTGGCAGTAAGGGTTTAAAAATTGCATCTTTTTTGTATAGGCATCAGGATCTTCCGGTGAGCAGCAGTACAATAAAAGGAGGGATGAACTTTGGCTGCAGGAAAGTAGAAGTGTGTTTTTTAAGGGCTAGCAAAGAGCTTGCTACACAGGCCAGCGTTCCCTCTATGCTACTACCGTTGATCTAGTTAAAATTGGATTTGAACTACTGGTGCGTAGCCAGCTGCGGAGCAAATAGGCTGACTTTCGTCACCAGGGCAGGGCTCAGCTGAGCTGTTAAAGACTCTCTACGTACAGGATTTTTTGGAAACTTTCCCCCTTTAACTCAGGTATGTGGCATTTGCACTGTCTACATGTGAGTTTTGGGAGCTAGGGATGGGATGGTGTAGGAATGTAGTAGATAAATGTCCCAGAGGGACAGGACAGGCTGTGTATGAAGCTGGATTTTAAACCAATGGTTCTCAAACCCCTCTCACACAGCAAGGCTCTGAGTGCGACCCCCCCCCAATAAATTAAAAACAGTTTTGTATAAATTTAACACCATTATAAATGCTGGAGGCAAAGCACGGTTTGGGGGTGGAGGCTGACAGCTTGTGACCCCCCATGTAATAACCTTGCGACCCCCAGTTTGAGAACCCCTGCTTTAAACAGCAGTTTATTACCGGGACGCGGAGGGAGACGTCAGAACTATACAAGCTGCTGTCTTTTGGTGTTTACAGAATATACAAAACTAGAGGATTTATACTGTCTGGGACTGAACTAAGGAAGAGGCTCGTTAAAGTCTCTCTTTCAGACAAGTAACGGGGTAGGGAACTTGCTGTTCTTTTAAGAAGATGAGTTTTCATTCTAGATTGCAGTCCGGTGGCTACACACGTCAAAGCAAACACTTGGGAATGAAAGCTCCCGGCAGTCTCAAC